AATTGTATTCGAATGGTTATGTTTTAGCACGGAATGGCATATTAAGTTTCATGGCCCTCTCTCACTGGTCGCTTTACTTCTCAAACTACCAGTAGATTTATATGCCTAAACTAGGTCCTTAAATCATAAAACTGGTTTTATTTTGACTGGCTTTATTTACCCTTTTCAGTTTTTAATGTTATTTTTGTCATCTTGGTTATCACATTTGGATTCATAAACTTAATAAATGTCAGTTTGGGTCAAAAATACATTTGATGAAATTTGATTTAGTTTTCTTAACAGCTTAAGTTTCTCAACAAGATATGGCTTTATTGTATCGGCCATCAGCGAGTTTTGGGGGGATCAAGGGGGTTAACCCCTTTTGACTTTTGAAATTAGAATTTTGACTAGCTGGAACATAGTTCTAAACCTTATCAAATGGCAACATTCGCCCTCTTAAGTACCTAAATTTTTGGGGCCCTTCACTGGACCCCGCATCCCAAGGTGCATCTGCGGACTCCCCCCTTTGAAAAATCCTGGATTCGCCCCTGGTATCGGCCAGGTTAGTTGTGCTTTTGTTCAACCTTGTTGAAACTCAGAAAAGAATCTCCAACTTTTAATATTTTTTGAATTACCCTAAATTGTAAGCCAGTTTAGAATACATTGGTTTGTATTTTTATAAAACTCTGAAATTTCTACTTTCATAGAAGAATCTATGACTGTTGACCAATTTTAATAATAATTATTAATTAGAACCTTTAAGCATTTAAAAAGACCGGCATTTTTTATTGCAATGTCCATGTTCAGGTGTGATGAAACTGCATTTTGGAATTTATTTTGAGGTACAAAATATTCAGGCAATTTCATCTTAAATACTCTGACTCTCTGACAATTGAGAGTTAGTATGGAGCTCTTGTACCCAACAAAAAGTAAAAATATACATATATATCAAGTGGTAATATTAAAGTTAAAATGAAATGATAAAACAGCGCATCTTGACAAAAAGAAAACAAATGGTGACTCTTCATCACTTTATTATTAATCTGATGAAATACAAAGCTATTCTAAAACATAACAAATGTTAGGTAAGCTGCCCCATGGGCAGACACAAAACTGTTTCTTATGAAACTCTATGACTTAGATTGTTTGAATGCAACATGATGTTTGGGAACCGATGCTATCTCTAAATGAACCTAGAGTATCCCTAAATTAACATAATAAATCAACATTCTTGCCTCTCAACACAGAATGAACAGTCAACATGCAGGCCACTCAACAATCCTTAACACTGAGCATATTGACATTATTGTGTTGTCAATGATATTACTGTCCCTAACTCCAAGTATAACTGGAAATGCTGCTGTGAGTTTGAATGAGATTGAGCTTTTTTAAAGGACCTGTGATTATCTTATTATGGGGCATGGGGACATATACAACAGTTAAACAAAATGCTGCCATGCTGGTGAAAATAATGCTTATTAAATCACTGTGCACTTCTTTCTGTATATATGAGTCACTATATGGTTACACCTGACAGCTACTGGTAGGTGGATCCTAGCCAACTTGCATAGGAGAGAACAATATGAAAACAGTGGAAGATTAATGATGGGACTTTTTTCAGCCTGAAAGTCCTTTAATTCATTTAGATTAGACATTTAGCTTCATCAGATATTTATGTATTTACTTTATCATGTTATATATATTATATATATATATTACTTGTCTGGTTAATCTGTGACTTAAGTTTTTCAACATACTGGTAGCTCTTACTAGTACCTTGTAAGCCTCAGAAAACTACTACTTTAAACCAAGAATAACAAGTCCAAAGATGAATAATATTCAATTTGATAATGGAAAAATATTTAATTGCTGAAACTAGTGGGATAAGACTTAGTCTAGTAACTTCGAAAATCCTAATTTGTTACTAAGCTGGCATTGTTTCTGACCAGTATTTGGCATCACAGACTGACTGGTCATGTTAACTAGTCCTAGTCAATATCTCTAGAAACCTGTTTCTTGACTTTATAATATACTATATATATTTTTAATCTGAACTTCATATATATATATGTTTAGTAGACTTTACAATTATGTGCATTACATACAAAACAAATAGCTAGACACCTGATCATTACAATCTGTGTTAGCGATCTCTCCTCCCTGGGGAGGTGGTGACGATGATTATGAGACATTTAACCTAATTGTGGTCACTTTATCAAGTGTCCAGTTGTTCTTTGTTCTCTCATATCCCCTTGACCACAGCCACCCCTGAGTCGCACCTCTTGACCTCCATGGTGGACTCCGTGACTATCCACTGGTCAGCAATAGGGTCATAGTACTCCATGTTCTTGAGTAGAGTGTGGCCATCATATCTGAAAGAGTGAGATGTTAGGTACACATAGTGGACACAGCTTTGTTGCTTCTTGAAGTGAATAAATAGATGTAAACATGATTTTAAGGCTTGAGACAGACTTAACTGAACCAAATGTAAAAATGCAGCCATTTGTTTAGATAAAATCTGGCTCTGTGAGTGCCCACTGATCAAGATCAACATACCGGTGCTGCATGTTAAGCCATGTGCTAGTTTGGTGAAGGAAATCTTCAATATGATGATGTATGGCAATGACTCAATCTTTTCAACAAAGAAAATTGTTAATTCTTCAGATACTGTTTTTTCTTTAGTCATAAATTCATAAAATTAGAACATGCCTATTGAGCGGTAGAAACAAAAGTAAAAAGATGTACTCTACAGTTCCATTATATATATATAGTAAAATTACAAACACTATACAGAAATATATATTTTTATAATATAATTCTAAAAATGATCTATTTAAAAATTGATAATTTATGTCCATTGTTAAAACTGAGTCTTTACCATACATCATTTAAATTCATACACATTAGGGCAAACAAAACACCAAAATTAAAACATTATTCAGACATCAAATCACTAAATCAAAATAGCAAAAACATTATCATACTAACCCTGCAACAACATATAACTTTCCTCGTAACACACATGCTCCAACATAGCACCTGGGAGACGTCATACTGCTGATGGATGACCACTGGCACGTGCGCACGTTGTACGTCTCTACTGAAGACAAATGCGTGTTCCCATCGTAACCACCGCAAACGAATATCGTGTCATTTAGTACAGCCACCCCTGCGCCTGAAATATTCAGTTCTGTTAAGAGAGCACTGTGGTATTTTGTTATTATGACACAACTGAGAGGTCAATAAATATTAGTTTAAGATAATATAATAAGAAGTGTGTCTCAGTCTTAAATGAATTAAGCCTAAGTGGCACCTTTTTAGATCAACTAATAAAAAACAAATACATAAATTATATATATATATATATATATATATATATATATATATATATCCTCAGTCTGGCAGGTAATACATAAACAAAATCACTGACATAATAACATTAGAGAATTTTCTAATCATTATAATAAAAAAACTATAATAGGCAAGTGACAGCTCAAAGATAAATTAAAGATGTTTGTGGCAAAGAGTTTGCACAAAAATTTTGTATTGCTGCTAATTTTCAGCAAATTAGTATGAACAGCAGGCAGGCCTGATATTCTGCTTAGAGGTGAAAAAAGTCAACAAAAAATAAATTGTAATGAATTCAAGACTGATCTACAATATCAATACAAAAGCGTTAACTTTCTACTGAAATACTACTTAATCTAACCAATACAAGCAGTGCCTAACCTGCAGGTTGCAAGAGTAGACGTGCTTCTGTAGTTCTCCGTTATTATCAACTGATATGTTTGTCAGTCACTTTGCCACTGAATACAGGAGATTTCAAATATTTATCAAAACATTCCAAAGGACATTATTTCAAATACCAAACAGTACAAAAAATTAACAAAAGAACAATCTTAACACAACCTGTACTGTACCTGATCTACTAGTAGCAAGAGGAGCCACACTCGCCCACTGATTAGTCCGAGGGTCGTACTTTTCCACAGAATTCAAAAGATTAACACCATCATAGCCACCAAGGCAGTATATATGGTCACTGGCCACTACAAGTCCTGCCCCCTCGCGCCCTAGTAACATACTGCCCAGCAGTGTCCATTGGTCAATACGGGGATCATAGCGCTCAAGACTGGTGTGTCTGTTGGTGCCATCAAAGCCTCCACACACAAATATCATGTCTGGAAGTATCAACAGAGATATACATTGACAACAACTTCTGTTGGCTGGAAATTGTGATAATTGGGTCAGTTATCAATGCTAAATGATATTAGTACAGGTTTATGTTAAAGTTTTGGCACTCGATCTAGACGATTGAATCCATTTGTGATATCAAACCCTAAATACGAAAAATATTATGCATAAGAAAAAAGTTCTATAATGATGTAGGTTCAAATACTCATTCCCTGCCATTACAAAAACATCATGCATAATGGAAAAAAATACCATATCACATTTGAAAAAAAAAAAAGACTTAAAAAAGTATGTATTAACAAATTAGAAAGTGCAAAATATTCAGGACTGTAAAAGATACTGATACATGTAGTAAACTGCATGAGCCATGCTTGACAAAAGACATAGGACATCTGTTTTTTACCCTGAACTGTTGAGTCAAACAAACTTGTTGTCCCTTAAAGAAAATACAAGGACAACTTCTAAATTCTACTTTATTGAATACAAACCATTTAGTACCTTGATATACACATCCTCCAGCCAGTCCTCTACGATGGTGCATGGGGGCCACAGCATGCCAGGCAGGCTTGTCTTGACTGATGTCCAAGCACTCCACTAAACTGAGCCGTGATTGGCCATCATATCCACCAATCACGTAAAGTCTAGGTCCAACTGCAGCAGCAGTGACATATCGTCTCCTCTTTGTAAGACACTTAAATTATAACATTCAAATTTGGATAAAAGAACTCTATAAGGGATTCTATTGTGAAAAAAAAAATCAACTTACAAATCTGTCAAGTTCTCAACAATTTTCTAATACTTACCAACCACTGTGTTACAAACTAGTATGGCATCTATATGCATGAATATCACTTAATCTTTCATATTCTTTGGAGTAATTTCCAACCAATTAAGATGGAAAATATAAAGGCAATGGGTACCCTGTTGAGTATCTACTTTTGTCCAAGAAAAGTTAAAATATCAATATCATTTAAACAAAACTAACAAAAATGCAGAATTCTTTTCATAAGTTTAGCTGTGACAGAATCCCTGGCTTTTGTGGTACGCTAGCATTCTTTGGAACCACCTCTTTAACAGGATAAAACATTTACTTGTCACAACTTACAGGCAGTGACTCCCATTCATTACTCTTGGGATCAAACATCTCAGCAGAATCTACTGGGTTTTGCATGGCACCAAAGCCTCCAACCACCACTAGTACCTCTACAGAGCCTGAAATTATGAAACAGTCTCCCATAGAATTTTTAGACTTTAAAACATCGAGGTGATATGAACCAGCACAACAATAAGTGGTATCAGTATTCTATTCTTTTATTAGACTTTTTATTAGATTTTTTCGATGTGTCTGCATCTTCCCTTGACTTGCAAGCAAACACCAACAATATTTAACACATTTAAAAAGAATTTTTATTTTAAGAAATGCTATTCCTATCATCACCCAACTTTGTCCTTTAATGTTACTTTCTTTGAAAGTAGCACTGAGTTACCGTACAAGTGTATCCTTGCTGTGTGACTTCAAAATATAAATCACTATTTTTATTATGTTAACATGTCCACAATGTCTGAAAATGCATCGTTTTTTTTTTTGTCCAAATCGATGAAGGAAGTCACTGTTTAGTCACTCTTTAGACATATATTATTATTATTACTATTATTCTCCATGTCACCCAGTTGTACATGTTTTCTGTCTACCTGTTCTGGGTTTTGTACGTGACCCATGCAGTTGACTCCTGAGGTCTGGTCTGAGGTGAAAAGTTTTAGCTTCATCCACCAGGTCTCTGCAAGCATGGCTGGCTTTGATAAGACTCTGGAAACAGGTATTATTTTACGACAATTGAAAAAATGTATCTGTCTATCAAGGATGCAGTCAGGGAGGTTCAGGGGTTTTGACTTAGATCAGGCTCTGAAAACAGGTATTATATGACAACTTTAAAGATGTATTTCATTATCAGGGATGCAGTCAGGGGGGTTCTGGGGTTTTGATTTTGATCAAGCTTTGAAGACAGGCATGACATTTGTTAAAATGCATCTCACTGTCAGGGATGCAGTCAGGGAGGTTCAAAGGTTCTGACTTTGATCAAGACATGGGAAATGTTTATGATCATCATCAGGTCTCCCTTAGCAAAATGAAAAGTTTTCAGCAACATTGCAGCAAATTTGCAAGAAAGAATTTCAATATGCAGCAGTATTGCAGCAAATTTGCTGCAGATTTGCAGCAGGCTTGATATTTTGCTAAGGGCTGTAAGGTTCATGGGAGTTTACATGTAAAAAACCCTTTTGGCAAGGAGAGGGTACTTTCTGAATAAAAAATGGTGATTAAATGTCCTCCTTTTCAAAATAAGACCCTAGCCTTTTTGAAATTACATCTATAAATGTCACAGTCAAAATTTATATTTAGTGAGACTGGCAAATAACTGCATGCATGTTAACATGATACATGTACTCCCCTAACAGTTACCAGGGTCTCACATTTTCACCATTAGAAATGAATTCGAGTTAAATATGTGATGCTGTGTATTTCTAAGAATACCTGCAAAGCTAATGTTTCCTTTCAATTTATACCCGACATGAAATAAAATTTACTGTATTGTGAAGTAATTAAAACAAGTGCATAGGTGTTGTGCTCTTGACACAGTGAGTAAACAATATTCTGCATGCTACTATAATGTGTCTACTTAAAGTTCATGCTTACATAATGCTCTCTATACTCAATATAACAAAAATTAGCTAAATCAAATAAAAGCAAAAAAAAAAAAAAAAAAACTGCCAATTTATCTGTCAAATATTGTATGGTTGTGACCAATTGTGTTAAATTGTGTTAGAGGTGACTATGCAGTGGGTCCCTCTAGTGGTAAAAAATGAGGGAAGTGAGTAGTTTTCCATGTTGGAGGGAGTGTGGACTCCATGCGGGGTGAAGTTGTGATATGTTTGTTGGTCACGTGGTTTGAATGTAATGTAAAACTGTGTATATAAAAAAAAAAAATTGAACAAGCACAAGTTTTTTATTTACTTTAACTTCAACATTATCAATAACTTGAAAAAATCAGCTTCTTGCTATAAATAAATAAATAAATAAATGATCGTTATTAGAATAATGACAACAGACTCCAGTATATTACCTGGTTGTCCACTACATCTGTGATGTATCTAACACTGAGTAACGGTAGTCTCACCAGCTGGAGTAATTTTGGAAGATCTTCTGTTCTTTTCTCCAAATCCAGCTTCACCCAGTTCAGCACTGCTTCAAACACTGGCTCCTCTGAGCTCACCTT